CTATATTTTGAGCAGAAAAGGCCCCGTGGGGGGTCAGTTGTCCAGCTTCCGCAGCATGTACTGGAAGAAGGCCAGGATGGAGACAGAGAAGCTCAGAGGCACGATCGAGCTGCGCACCCATATCCACATGCTGCCAACGAAACCGCACCGTCCTTAACCAGCCAACCACCAAAGATCCATGCGTATACCGTTTAAACCATAACTCACAATTTACTGGAAATGTAGAACGGTTCAGGGGTCGGGATCACGCCGCACTCCTTTATGATGACGGCAGCGACGGGTCGGTCCTCCGAGTCCGTAGATTGCAGCTCAATCTTGTGCACCACGTCCTGACCGTCAATCACCTGCAGAGAAGAGAGAACAGTTAGAAACGGGTAAACTTTTGCGTTCGGGATCCAGCAGTAACGGGCAGCTTTGATTACCTTTCCGAAAGCCGTGTGCTGGCCGTCCAGCCAAGGCGTCGAGATGGTGGTGATGAAAAACTGGCATCCGCTCGTGTCTTTGCCTGTTGGCCAAAAAAAGATTGACAACCGCCCTCCTCGGTCTAGCCCCTCGCATCATACGACTCAATGGTTATATTAACTCTCATCAACCGTTCGCCGTTTCCAAGAGAAGTCACCTGAGTTCGCCATGCTCAGCATCCCGGGGCTGTTGTGCTTGATGTCGAACGTCTCGTCCTCAAAGTGGTCGCCGTAGATGCTGATGGAGCCGGTGCCGTCGCCGTGCAGCACGTCGCCTCCTGCGGTCAACGAGGTGGGCATCCGTGTTTGTTTACGTAAAGAGGGAGCGCCCGCCTTTCTTCCGTATCGCGTTTGGACTCCTCCCTCAGCTAAAACCGCGCACGGTTCACACATATACGCGCCATGTGACACGGTAATAAAAACAATGACTGATTTTTTATTTTAGGGAAAAGGGAAAACTTTGAGGAACCCCCTGCTTGGTTTCAGTGAAACTCCTCCGATTTTGAGGAAGTTTCGTCAAAAAAGGTTGTTTTCATCTTTTTTTGAGAAGAGAAGAATCCTCAAAGTCCGAGGCGAGATCTGGGAAGATTTTCTGAAATGAGGAAGTTGCCCGATAAGAGGAACAAGAAGAAGGTAGCAC